TTTGAACTCAAGACCTTTGTGTGCTATGATACCACGTTGAGCCACTGGATCTAAAAGCTTAAGTTAGTAGACAGGGTCAAATGTATGTAAAATAAAAAATGTCTACCCTTTTGCGGCTGGGCTCGAAATCGGCTAGGCAAAACTGGCCAAACGGCTTAGGAAGAGGGTAAAATTGGTATGAAAATACATGACAACAGCATGATGTCAGAAATGATGCAATATGAATAGTGGTAGGAAAGTTCTCTCTTTTAATGTTGTAGAGGATATGTAAACATTTGAGCTTGGCCTTTTTGGGTTACTTATGCAATTTAAGCCTCAAGGTTTAGTTTTATATACTTTGTCAATCTATTGTTGGTCATCAAATATTGATTGCATTTTTATATTATTAAATTTTGAGATATAATTAAATACCTTAACATTAAAAACATAAATGTACATTTTCTTTATTTTAGAAAGAAGAAAAATAGCATATATCTCACTTTAGTTAGATCCCATGAATTTTGTTGACATCTCATGTTTAAATGTTACTTATAAATTTGACGGAGTGCGTGAATATAAATATTACTTTGAACTTGAAATATTTAAAATGTTTAAAATAAATTGAGTAACCAGAAAATGACAATAAGAGAAATTGTACAAACACAAACAAATCTAATCCAAACATCAAACATGAAGTAGTGCAGATGTTCATATTATAAATTATAAAGATTCTACTTTACTAAATATAGAAAGGAGAAGTCCGAGCTCAATTCAAGTTAGAACTAGCTTGTTTGTTTATCAATAATAGATGAATAATTAGTAGAAATGGTCCCCCAACGTTTACACTCTTTGCTAAAATGGTCTCTATCGTTTTAAAATAGGCATTTGTACCCTTATTTCAAACGTTTCTTGCGGAATTGGTCCTTCCATCCATAAATTAGAACATTTTGATAATTTGCAGAAATGGTCCCTATGAAATATAATTTAATATAATTTTGGAACGACCTGCTTCGACGAGTGGTAATTTTTGTTACGGTTTGTCGTTTCGCACGCCGTTTGGAATGAGAGAAATTAGGTCATGAGCACTTCGAAATAGTATTAAAAATGTAATATTTGGACTTCGTTTGACTTCCCGTAATAATCCCACAAAATTGAGACAAAAAATAAGAAAAATCGTTTATATATTTTGGAACAACCTGCTTCGACGAGTGGTAACTTTCGCTACAGTTGGCCATTTCGCACGCCGTTAGGGATGGGAGAAACTAGGTCATGAGCACTTCGAAATGGTATTAAAAATATAAGGAAAAATGCGTGATTAAAAAATAAGGAAAAATTGTAGATTTACGTGTAATATTATTTTATTGAAAAATGTTTAATTGATAAGAAGAGTGAAAAATTATTTTAAGAAAAATGTGTATCAAACAAGGCTCAATGAAGTGTAGCAAAGCAAATTATATAGAGCGTTATTTATGCGAGAGAATTCATCAAGAGGACAAGTTTTCGAGCGTTTATGGAGTTTACAAGGTCTACCACCAAAATTTTGTATTTTGCCATTATTTTCTACTTATATAGCTATATTTTGTACTTTTATTTGCATATTTGTCAATTTGTTTAATTTTTTCTACCTATATTAAAAGAGCCAGTTTTGGGGTTACTGTAGTTAAGCCGTCGCTGAGCCGAATGGCCATTCGGTTCGGCTCGGCTAAGCCGGGTGATTTTTTTTTTTTTTTCCAATATCTAATATCCTAGCCTATACCTATAACTAGCCTGCCAAGCCGAATTGCTATATGGCTCGGCTAAGCCGTCCGTTTTTTTTTTTTCCTATACCCTATCATATATTTATATCTATAGCTAAGTAGCCAAGTCGAATGGCTATATTGCTCGACTCGGCTAAGTCGTGTTTTTTTTCCTATCATATATCTATATCTATACATTGAATAAAAGAGCCGCTTAAGCCGAGCTCATTGGCTATATGGGTCGGCTCTGCTAAACCGTTTCTTTTTTTTTTTCAAATAGCTTTATGGCTGGCTTGGCTAAGTTTTTTTTTTTAACGTTCGATTTTGATTCCAAATGGCTTTATGGGTCGACTCGGCCGAGCCGTTCTTTTTCTTTTTGACTATATGGCTTGGCTCGACTCGGCTCGGCTCGGCTAAGCCTTTTTTATTTTTTTTGTTACCTTTTATTCCAAATGGTTTTATGGCTCGAATCGGTCAAGCCGCTTTTTTTTGGGTATATGGCTCGACTAGGCTAATTTTTTTTTTTTTAATTCAATATTTTAAGTTACAAACATTCGTTTTAAGTGATTTTAAATTTATTGTTGATGTCAAAAATAATTTTACGTTGATTGTGAAACGTAAAATCGTAATTAAGATTTTACGTGTAATATTATTTTATTAAAAATGTGATTGTAAATAAGAGAAAATATATATATTTTAGAAAAATGATTATCAAACATGATATAATACGACCACCTTTTTATTTTTTATTTTTTACATTTGATTCTAAATGGCTTTATGGCTTGACTTGGCTAAGCCGTTTTTTTTTCTATATGCTTCGGCTCGGCTAAACTTTTTTTTTTCCTTCACGTTTGATTTAGTATTTTAAGTTATGAATATTCGTTTTAAGCGATTTAAAAATTTGTTGTTGATGCCAAAAATAATTTGCCGAGCCATTAGCTAGCCTTTTTTTTTTTTTTTTTTTTTTCCTTCACGTTTGATTTAGTATTTTAAGTTATGAATATTCGTTTTAAGCGATTTAAAAATTTGTTGTTGATGTCAAAAATAATTTTACATTAATTGTGAAACGTAAAGTCGTGATTATTTATTTTACGTGTAGTATTATTTTATTGAAAATGTATGATTGTAAATAAGAGAGAGAAAAATATATTTTAGAAGAATAA